GTCACGCATGCTAGCTGGATATATAGATCCATGTTATGTTTTATAAGGAGGTCGTCTAGCCAGTACTAGGTTGTTTCGGGGTCAAAAACACTCAATTTTTGGACCGTGATCTCATCCAACAGTTCACAGCTCTCACCCAAACCCAATCTCGTCTTCTTCCTGAAGCCCGACGCACTGCCGTCGCCCTCAGCCCACCGTCCGCGGTGACCTCCTCCTTCCCCTCCCCCTCCTGGCACCGCTATGGCCATGGGCGCCCCCGCCCCGACCTAGCCGGGCGTCTCCTATGGCGCCAGAACCCTAACTGCTGCCCTCCTGCCGTTCCCACCGTCTGGCTCCCCTGAGCCCCTTCTAAGCCTGCCAAAGTTGAGGAAGAAGAGAGGGAGAGTCAGAGAGAAAGGACGTTGAACCTGCCGCCGCCGCCGTCTTCTTCTTCGGCGTGGGTGAGTGGAGCGTAGGCACGCGGGCGAGGGGAATCGAATGTTGTATAGTATTCCTCTTAAGTGTGAAGGATGGAGAGTAGAAAGAGAATAACACACCCCTTAAGGCCTGGGATGAAATGAACAAGACCTAATAGAGCATATATAAAACAGCTAAGGTTGCGTCTATTTCCGTTTCATTCTCTTCCCTAGACAGAGAACACATAAAACAATTAATTGTTTAAAGGCTCTAAATGACAATACCATAACATTAATGAGTTACTCCTTTAGTTCTTTTTTGACGTGTCTATTTTGTCCTAAGTTAAATATCTATATTTTTAACTGATAATTTTAAAAAAATTATATAGGTTCGTAACATAAGATTTATGTTTTTAGCTTTATAATAGGAAATGTTTCTATAATAATATAGTTCGTATGTTGTGAAATTATAAAAAAGTTAAATAGATGGTCAAAAATATTAATATTTGATTTAAGGTAAAAACTAATATTAGGTCAAAAATTATATTTTTTTTAAGGTAAAAAATAATATTAATGTAAAATAGAACGACTCGTTATTTTGGCTCGTTGCTTCTGTGAGAGCAAATTCACTCGTGCGATGTTTCATCCCGTTTAGCGAAAACAATCCAAACAGCTTCGCTCTGAAGCGTTTGGAAAGCCCCGCCAAACGGAATTAGAACGACTCGTTGGCTCGTTGCCATGGCAAATTCACTCGTGCGATGCAACAGAATTCGAGAAAATAGCCGTCTATCGTCTTTTATCTCTGCCTCACGCACGCTCGTTCCTTCTCCTTGCCGACCGACGCCGCCGCCGCCTGCGCCTCTGTCGCTCTCGGCTCTCGCCCAGCGGCAGCCGGCCACCTCTACCGCCACCCCTCTCATCTCCCCTTCCTCAATCGCTCCCCATTCCACGTGCTCAGCCTGGGCTATTGCCGCCTCCCGGAGCTGAGTGCCCGGATCCGAGAGGTATCAACCCGTGCGGACGGGTGGGAGTTGGGACAAGGCGGCGGCTCCGGCCTCCGGGAGACTGCGGCGACAACCGTGAGCGACGGGACGAGCTGTGGATCGAGCAGCTTCGATCCGCCAGGGGCGAAACACGATCTCCGTTCCTCCTTCCCTAAATCATCCTCTCCCGGTCTCGGCCTCCCCCAGATTCCCACCTGCTCTCCTCTCCGGCCACGACCAGGGTTGTGCTTCGCCGCCGCCGCGACCTTGACTCATCAGCGTTAGCTTCTCCTGATTTGGACACGCAAGATGGTACCCATCTCTTTACCCCCCTTGACTTCCCAGAATTACATTTTACTCGTATAGGATCTGAATATTGCGTACCTTCCTAGTGTGGATGGATGGTGTTATTAGATTACTCGGTTCACATGTGCCTGCCAGCATCTAGATAGTCTTGGTATTGCAATGTGTCTGGCTGTCTGCATAAATATTGTGTCATGGTGTATATTCCATTTCCAATTGGATCAATAATCAATGGGATCCCATAATCAATCTTGCATCCACCTGTGGCAAAGTTGTATTCATGGTCAAGACTCAACGATTAGCCATTTTAAATATGCTTATTGTGAAACAGATAATTAGAAGTTATCAGAATGCTGAATGCTAGAACTCGCTAGGGAAGCCTGTCATAAGGTGTAGATATCCTACTCCTACAGGTGCACAAGCCTATTTAGTAGCACATTACCAGTCATTTGTTGCAGAATCAAATGGGATCAAGTGCATGTTCCAGACATTTCATAAACTAGAGTGTGAGACTATTTTAGTCTAGTTAGTTATAAAATATTGAGTACTTTGAAATGCTTCTGGAAAGGTTATTCTAAGGTAGGGCAGTGCCTACAAAAATTTAGTGTGATTTACCATCAAGTGTTGTCAAATAGAATGCAGGGTTCCATGAGATAGTTGTGGTACTGTATTACCAGAAAAACAGTGTTGTCTTTGATTAATTCATTGTGTTGCTACATATCCAAAGTTATAATCTGACAACTTGTTTCGATGCCTGGATCCAAATTAATGACATGGTCTTCTATATTCAGTTTTTAGCTTACAAGGCATTACCTCCATTCCAAATTAAAGGTTGTTTTGGCTTTTCTAGATACATAGTTTTGCCTATGTACATAGTGTATACCTAGGGGCATAGCAAAAGCTATGTATTATGTACCTAGAAAAGCTAAAACGACTTATAATTTAGGACAGAGGGAGTACAATACTTATATTAGTTGCTTCATCTGCAAAATAAAACCAGGTGAATTATGTGCACATGATATTATGCAGGAGTGCAAAACTGTGATTAAAGGAGAAATCGACCCAAATAAAATGGGAACAAACAAAGATATTTATGATGCTCTTCAAGACTAACCAACTTTCTAGATTGCTGTCTTGTTATTGTATGGTGAACTCTTACAGCAGTTGAGGTAGTACAACAGAAGAAAAGTCAGAAATAAATGTTGTGGAATTATACTACTTCATTTGGAGTTAAACTGTTAAAGAAACCTTTACTTTAGATTGGTCTTATCTATTGGTTTTCCCGTATTGGTTATACTAGTTACATTTTGGTTCTGATTAATTGATGATATCTAAGTGCAGTGTGGTTTTAAGAAACACTAATAAGAAATGCATGAATTGGATGGCCAGGTTTATCACTCTAGTTTCGTTGATGATGATGGGATCAGAAAAGCTTGTAGCTGTCCTTTGCTTCCACTGAAAACTCATATAAAGGGCCCAGCACCAGCCTCTGACCCTGGTATGGTGGCTACACAGAACTCATAACTTTCACTACTATAAGACCATACTGAATTTCTTATTTATGTCCATGTTATACAGATAAAGCGGACATTGTTGATGAAGCCATAACTTTCTTTCGAGCCAATGTTTTCTTCAAAAATTTCCATGTGAAAAGCTCAGCAGATAAGTTATTGATCTATCTGACGTTTTATATCAATATTGCCTTAAAAAGACTAGAAGGTTGCCGGACACTAGCTGTTGGGACTAAGGCAATCATTAATCTGGGATTGGAGAAAGTTCCTGTACCTGGGGAACCAGGGTTTCCTTTCCCTGGACTTTTCACTCTTCCCCAGTCCCAGGAGGAAGCAGGTATACAGTTTCGTCTACAATTGTATGCACATATGTTTCTTTCCAAGACTAGTATTTTCTATGTATAAAAGTAATATGCTACTCATTATTATTTTCACATAATTATGTTTGTCGTCATAATTTAGACTGATAAGTCAGTAAAACATTCGTGTACCATGGATTCCAACGCTAAATTGACGATTGTGCATTTCTGTGTCTGAATGCAGAATTGTTGAGGAATTATTTGAAGCAGATAAGGGAGGAAACAAGTGGAAGATTGCTCAACTGTGCATACAGAGCTAATGGCTTTCCAAACAAATGGTGGTTGGCTTTTGCTAAGAGAAAGTTTATGAACATTGTCATCCTTTAGACTTGGGCTTTTTGCACCAACAGGTTTAAGCTGTTTTTTCTCTTATGATCATGTGAAGTATCCACACACAAAAAAAAAGATAGTTATCCTACATCTCAGAGGGACAAAGCCAAAGATTTCGATGAGAGGATAGATAAATGTCATAAGTTAAATTATTCGTTCCCAACTTGTGATGGATAACTGTGGAGAACAGTAATTGCCATGTTGTCTTGCCTATTAAATTTACACCCCTGTTCTCCAATGATGTGTCCAAGTCGAGACAGTACAAATGTTCGTAGTATTGTACATGCTGCAAGTGTGGCATATATGTTGTAAACTTGTAATTGTTAATTATTCACGGTAATTTCCCGTCCCTGGTACAGTTTACAGGATTGATGATTGATCTACAATGTAAATAAAAGGGTGGACGAACTGGATGATTATTCATAGTAGGCAGTTTATTCGATTATATTGGAAGAGAAGGTAGGGATATTTGGAATAGAAACGGAAGATGAGCTTGTTTGGCATTAAAAATTCCTGAAACGAGTAAGAATTCGTACACTGTTCATTTTTCCCCTTTCCGAACAGAAAATGCACATTCACTCTTGAAACGAGTAAGAATTTGTATGTTCACCTTTTCTCCTTTCCGAACAGAGAATGCACATTCAGCACACTAGCTGTTAATAACTAGCCGCAGCGTAAAATGGCTGGTGCGAGAAATTCCGCAGAGCACAGAAATCACGGTGCAGATCGAAGGCGACGGGATGCAGATGGCGCGCGAAGCGCACTCTGCACACATGCTAAGTGACATGAGATTCCACAGCTAGGTATCATGCCAACACCTTTCAGAAATGAGTCTTTCTACTCGTCCTCAACTCCTCATGAAGTGGACAAAGCAGCAAGAAAATAGCTTTATGAAACATAATCAACAATGCTCACCACCCAAATGAGCAGGATGTTGCCTTGTTAACAAGGATTCCATAGTAAGGGTTCAAACAATCTATTATGAATATTTAACCACCATATTAAACTGGGCTACACAAGTAGATCATGCTGCAAGCAATAGCCATTAACAAAGTTCTAGAGCAGAAAATTAGACTAAGCAGAATATCTGGAGTTCCCCATTGGCAGAAGAAATATAGTCTACGCAGACGCTTGAATGTTCTCTGCAAGGAACGCCTTCCCCGGGGCACGCTTAGACAGGGGACCGTGAACACCGAGCAGCTGCACAAAGGCCAAAAGATAACCAGTATTAAATAGATTGCCCACTTATAGAATAGCCCATAAAGCAAAAGGTCATAGTATGTACATTGGAATTGAATCAAAACATAAACAATTATTCGAGATCAGTTCTTCATGTGAAGCATATGATGCTTAAACAGAAACACATAAATAAATAACTGGAACAACTCTTTTACCTTAGCATTGACACCATCAGGTGCGATCCTACCCTCGCTCTTGTACTTCAGATACTCAGCACGGGTGAACTTGGTGAAACCCCTGAAAAATCAAGACAATGCACAAAACGAGTCAAATTCAAACCTTTCATCCATGCTGTGACTTGACATCGGGTTCAACAGCAAAGCATCTTCAGTCACACATACCACTTCCTGCTGCGGATGATCTTTTGGCGGCCAGGGAACTTGAACTTGGCACGGCGGAGGGCTTCTTCAGCGTGATTAGCATTGCTTTCCTTGCAGCGCACAGAAAGGAGGACCTGACCAATGTCCACACGAGCACAGGTACCCTGGGGCTTGCCAAAAGCACCCCTCATTCCAGTCTGGAGCCGATCAGCCCCAGCACATGAAAGCATCTTGTTGATACGAAGGACATGGAATGGGTGGACCCTGACCCTCAGGTGGAAGGCATCCTTGCCGGCACTCTTGGTCATGTACTTGTTGCAAGCAATGCGGGCAGCCTCAAGAGCCTCACTGGAAACGTTCTCCTTCTCCCAACTCACCAGGTGGACGCAGAAGGGGAACTCATCCACTCCCTTCCTCTTCATCCCAACATCATAGATCCTGATCTTGGGGTCAGGGACACCACGGCAGTACCTTGACTTTGGGTATGGTTTGTTCTTGATCTGGCGGTAGCATCTTGCTGGCCCTGGTTACAAAGATTACCAAGGGCCTAATTATAACCAATGTGCAGAAAATGACATGGAAACATACCATATCATTAGAAATACAAATGCAGACAAGGAAAACAAAGCACCCACAGCCACCTTAGCCTCTACACCATTACTTCATTACATAGGTGTAATAATATCAAACAAATCAGAACCAGAACTTCAAGCTCAAAAAAACATTTTTTTAATGATTCAGTGCAAATATCACAGTCATCATTGCTATTCTATCAAGAAATCCGGTGAACCATATCACGTATTACTCAATCAAGTGACATCAATGCTCAGGTTTAGAAAGAGAGCAAAATCCTCAGTCCATAATTCATACAAGTTTATCACATTATTCGGCGATTCACCATAGACAAACCACATCACACAAAATGAATGCCAATAAGACATCAAAAAAATTTCAGCACTCTTAACAGAATAGAGTTACAGTGTTAAACACGTTCTAATCCTTGTCAGATGTCCACAGAAAGGTGAGCAACTTGCTTGTAATAACAAAGCCATCCACTAAGAAATAATGGAAACTCATCAGAGCATCAGAGCTCAAGCATTCAATGTTTTAAACAAGACAGTTACAAATCAGCGATCCTAGTATACGCAAACAGGCCATGCTTGCTAGAAACAAAATTCTAAACCACCAGAATTAACTCTATATGCTCCGCTGAATCATGATGCCACTAATCTCATTTGGCACCTAACTGCCTAACTACAATGGAAAAAACAGAATTCCGAAAACATCACTGATACAAATCACGTAGGTGTCTAGATGGCCTAGTACTATTGGATCTAACAACCGCAAAATCATCTGCGGATTTCTCGTAGCTCATAAGACTCGCATATCCCACGGGCAACGGCATCTAACAAACATCACAGGGATCCTAGCAACGTTGAGAGAGAGAGAGAGAGAAAGAGTTTGGTGGAAGAGGAGGGAAGGTGAGTGATCTTACTTCTCCCCATGGCGACGGCGCAGGCGAGTCGACGTGAAGAACGCGGCGGCGGCAGGGGACCCGGTAGGCGCTAGGGTTGGAGGGCGTGGATTATATACGCGGTGAGAGGAATGGCGTGTGCGCTTGCGTCTGTGTGGTGTGAGCTTGGGCTTGGGTCCTGAATTGTGAATTGTGGGCTAGGCCATCTAAGGCCCATGTGAACCCAAATAACGGTGAAACGTATCCCATCTATTTTCGTATTTAGTCTTTAGAAAAATATATTTTCGTATTTGCCGGAAAATGCAAAATAGGAAGCGGAATGATGTGTTTTCGGTATGTTTTTTTATATAAATAAAGGCTAATTGCTAGCTAACTACAAAATTTAAAATTAGTTCTAGTACATTCAAACAGAGGACTAATAGGTGGACTAATTTGTTTGTAAATTTTCAAATAGTTGTTAGTTAACTAGCTAATCAACCACGGTTAATTTAGACTATTTTTTAGCCCCAACAAGTAACTAGCCATATGTATCCAAATAAGTCCTTAAGAAATACGGAGTAAAGGATAAGCTTTAATAATTATTATTGTAGCAACCTTCGACCATTAGGTTTTTATACGACAAAAATTAGTTCAAGAATTCAGAAAGCCCTCCCAAGGGGCATCAAGTGAGGCACTTCAACAAGATCCTAACATGTCAAATACTACACACTAAGCTCTAAGCTCTGTCATGATCTTAGTTCAAGTTTTCAGTTCCATCAGTAGTGTTCGTTTCCATATTTCTGCAATCCTATTTTCATTCCCCTTCCTGACTATCCAAGTCTCGTTCTCATTTTTAGGAGAAAATTGCATATTTTGGGCTTTAATCATCATGCTTCGTAGTTTTGGGACTTTAATCATTGACTTCGTAAAAATAGACCTCTAAACATTGAACTCTTGATTTTCATGGCATTATGTGTATTTTATATCTTTTCTGGTATATATACCTGTATTTGGCCCCCCTGAATGGACCCTTTTGCCCTTGTGTCTTTTTTCTTTTGTGCATGGATACGAAAAGATCCATACAGACGTTTTGTTTGCGCATTCGTTGCCGCCGCCATCAGGGAGATCCCGACGCCGCTCGCTTTCCCTAGACGGACGCACCGGAGATCATGGAGCCTGATAGCCAGCCGCCCGACCTGGCCGTGGCCGCCGACGGCCTGGCCGCGCCGCTCTCCCAGGGCATGGCCGCGCCGCCCGACCTTGGCCTGGTCGCGCCGGCTGAAGTACGTGGTCCGGCTGTCGACAGGAGTGCGCCGTGCCACGTGGCCTATCCGCCGCCGTGCACGCTTCAGAACACTACTGGCTCGCGGTTGCGGCTTGCCAACAAGGTCGTGCTGCTCGTGCTTGCAGCCGTGCAGGCTGCCTGGATCCCAAGCCTGCTCCTCCGTGCAGCGTCCAGGCGCTTTTTGGGGACCAGGACCCTGGGCTCTGGACACGCACGCGATGATGTTTCCCGGCGGCCGGCGGCCGGCGCGCCGACTGAAGATCGCAACTCGCAAGACGCAAAGTGATGTGCCGCGAGGCGAACCGGTCCAGACTCCGGAGCTGGGTCGTCGCACGAGCTCACGCCGCCGCCTCGTGCTCGCGTGGCGCGCGCGACGAACCGGGTCACGTACGTACGAGCGGCAGGACAAAATATCAGAAGGGCAAAAAGTCCATTTAGGTCACAAATACATAGAGGAATACTACAAAAGGGAGAAAATATACATAATGTCATGAAAATCAAGAGTCCAACGTTTGGAGACCTATTTTTACGAAGTCGACGATTAGAATCCTAAATATATATAATTTTCTCCATTTCTAGAGATGGTTAAGGTGGTTTCCAGTCCGTTTCGTCCATTTTCATCCATAAGAGGGAGGGCAAATTTCTGTTTCCCCAGGTTTCACGGTAAGCTTTTTATCCATTTTGTTTTTCAAAAAAAGAGACCTGTCTTAACAACATTTTTTTTATACAAGCGCATTACTCATCTCTAGCATGTATACCTTGCTCTCGGTGGCAGAAAGCTAGATCAATATATGTGTTAACCATGCCATGTGTAGTCACCTCCATAGTTGAGGCCTCGTGTTTCTTATAGAGATATGGGGATGAGAATATTCCATTTATGTGTGCGCATTGGCTCGTTCAAACTTGTATTGTCTAATACGACCAAATTTGATGTACTAGATAATGCAACATTGGACCTGCATTGAGCACTATACATGCCTGCATAAGAGCCTATGCAGGCAACCAAACATGAGCAAATTACTTACTCCATTACACAAGCTTGGATACAGGCTAAAAGCATCTCCAAGAGTCTTTCTTAAACTCACTTTCTAAATCCTCATTTAGAGAGTCGTTTGAATGAAAATCGCTATCCATATCTTCCACCTTTCAATAGCTTCTTTATATCATGTGCATAGTTTGAAGAGCCACCTCACAGTCTATATCTTTGTCTAGCAAGAAACTAGGAATACATGATTGCAATATTTGAAGATCTAGTCGAAGAAACTATAAGAGGGCTTTTTTCATAAATCTTTATTTTCATCAACACGGAAGGATATAAAGAGACCCTTGAAGTTGCTCTAATACATGCAACCAATCAAACCTAAGTGCACTAAGGGATCGAACATATGATTGGCTTAAATTTTGGGCTCTCATCTGTATTTGTTTGTTTTCGTATTCCTTGTATATCCCTTTTCCATTATTGCTCCTATTTTTGGTGATAAAAGGCGGAAAAGAAATAGTTAAGGGGTTTTCCCACCCGTTTCAAGCTGTTTTCATCCCCATTCAAGAGTAGGTTTAGAGGCCATGTATTAGCCATTTAGGAAAGTTTATTCAGTTAAATTTTCTTATGATTGATGACACATTTATAGAGATAAGCAACTACGTAAAATAATGCACTTTTTTAGTTTTTCACTTGCTGCATACATGATAATATAAGCATAGTGTTGTATTGCTGCTAAGCACCATTAAGGCATTAATTAATATATGTGTCTTTTGTTTGCAGTTTTTTCATCATTATTGGGAGAAAAATAAACTAGGTCTGCTTCTTGGTGTTATTATTATCTCATGGTATATTGGTTTGCATAAAGTTTGAGTGTCCCATGCTTCGGACGAGTATCCTTTTGTAGATATGATTCATATCTACTAGATCATAAGATTTGCGAGATTTATGGATTGCCAATAGCAATTCATTTATTTCAAGTTTTCATGTCAGAACCTTTTACACTCTACGATGTCTTGCTTCAAACTCTTTTATCTTGTTCTTGTGGGCACGTGGTTAAATGGCACTGTCCCGATGAAAATCTATATGGAGGCGTGAATGTAAATCCGAACGCTCATGATTTTACACAACTCATCACCGGTGTTCAAATCCAAGTGCTCATGATTTTGGATGGCGATCTGGACCAGGACCAGGTAACTAATTTAAGGCCAGGCAACGATCCAGATCCCAGGTCGAAATTGACCGCCTAGATCTGCTGCCTAGACCAAGCAGTTCCACTAGATTCCCAAGCAAACACGCTCTTAGTGTTTTCAACAGTTTTATCTATAGGCATGTAACAGGAATGCACTGGCGAGTGTGTGTGTGTGTGTGTGTTTCTGAATGTGGTGCGCGCGTGACTTTTCTAGTTTCTACTTGAAGAAATCATCAATTGGGCTAAGAATGTGATCTATGATAAACAATAGAGGGTAAAGGGTCACCTTTGCCTCACACCTCTTTTACAATGGATTTTTTTTCCAAGAACACCATTTAATAAAATTGATGAGTCTAGAATTAATTTGGCACATGATCTATCTAAATGATCCATATTTCCCTGTGAGGCCCAATTGTCCTAGCATGCTTGTGATAACTTGATGCTCAATCATGCCATGCCAAAAGCATTTCCAAAAACTAATAATAACAATTTCCTCCTTAATGGTGGTATTGATGTAGATATTCATAGGATCATGCCAAACAATCTTGAATTGGCCTGCTCCTAACAAAAATGTAATGATTTGTTGTCCTTTGTTTTGGGAAAAAAAGGTAACCCTGCTTTTATAGCAAGAGTATAACCATATTGATTTATGTGAACAATAGTGAGGCTTAGTGTCAGCAACCTGTTTGTAGGTAGTAAAAGTCTACTTACTTTTCGTCTTTTTTTTCGGCCCGGCCTGAACCTGGCTCGGACCGCAAAATGCTCAGATCTGCTTGAGGGTACACCTAGACCACCCAAGCTCGTGCTCGACTTATATTTCCCTTTCTTTCAAAGATGCTTACAACATAGCAAAAGCTATGTTTCCTCTATATGAATGATCAATCAATTGAGAAATGAAAACCACCAATGGTGAGATGAGAATTGTGTTTCATACCACCATCTTTGCTTGGTGAGCTGGCAATGGTATACTTAGCTATTGTTCAAGAACTATAAACAATAGGAACAAGTATTATTCCCTGCTTCACACCAATGAGAAAAATTCACAGAGAAATATATAAAAGCTACATCCATGGACATATATACCTTCACGCAGTAAACTCAACAATGATCCACTGAAAACACCAGTACATCAACAGTATCTGGGAACTGTGCGTGCTGTTTATTTGCAGGGCTAATGAATGGCAGGGCAGCTCTCCTTTGGCAGGGAAAGGCCAGAAAAATGTTCGTTCCTCCCTCAGCCTTCATGCCAGAGGAGAGCTGCACTGTGATTCTCACCCTGAGCTACTTCTCTTGACATCCTTCAACTGCCTGCTGTTGATGCTTGTTCAGATCCTCCTCTTCCTCCACTGTTTCCTTGCCTTACAGTTTTATGTTTTCATGGCCTATATATACCACAAAGCCCTCCGGTCGAAATCTGGATATCCCTCCGAATGTGCCCAAATCAGGACCATGTTCGAGAAGCTAGCTAACTGTCACTTTTGAGTTTGGTTCATGTAGATAGAATTTCTTCCCTCATTGGAAAAGGAGGCCGGTATTAACATATGCATGCATCCAGTGAACCATGCCGAGACATGTCCTTTTCAAGATCCTATTGAC